CTGTACCTAAGATCTTAGCAAGATCATGGCAACGATTTCTTTTACTATTATCTTCTCACAAGATCTCGAATAAAACAGAAAGCGACATCATTAGTTTATTTAGATAGGCTATCTAGTCGTTCACCGTTTTTTTATGCATACAGAACAGAATATAAGCAACATGATTGGACATGCAAAAAGATAACTTTACAAAATAAGTTTTTTTCTAAACTATTTCTCGACTATTGATTAATCGAGAGGATGCTGATCTCGATCGATGGTCGAGAGAGGACTACCCTAAATTGGTCTGGCGAATATCGGACCAACTTAAAGCCGGTCAGATCTCAGCATCTGACTTGCTTGAGCTATTCGGGACAGGAATAGTTAATATTAAAATATATTGAAAAAATACCAAACACACTTTCAGAATGCATCGTTCAAGATGTTATGAATTCTTACTTAAGATCTGTAATAAGATCTTGGGTACAAGATAATACAGTTATCTTGTACCTAAATTTTCAAGATCTGTTCACTTATCTGTACCCAAGATCTTGGCCAAGATCTTACTTACAAGATGTTTCACTAGGGTGGGGATAAATTTGAAAAGAGCGGTCTAAACTGAGCAGAAATAATATGAAAAATCTATCAGAGTATATCAAGTGTCGATGCTGAGCAAATATTTTTGCAACCAGAGAAAAACTAATTCCAGCCGATTCCTAGAATTTCTTAGAAACGTTTAAAATACTGAAAAAACTTGGAGTTATGAGATTCTCATAAATTCTTCATATATTTCTGCTCAGTTTTGACCACTCTTTTCAAATCTATCCTCAGGAATATTCTAATGCGAAAGATAAATCTGTAATTCGCTTGGAATCGGCCGAAAAATCTTTAAATTTTCACTTTTTGACCGATTCCACGCCTAGTCCGAATGATTTATTTTATAGTGGGTAGATTTTGACAGCTGATTCAGATAGAGCATGAAAAACTGGTCAAAACGAATGTAAAAAATTCGCATATAGCGCAAGTCTTTATGGCAAAAGAATGCCATTTTTAAAAGCATAGTGTAGGAATCAGTGCATTCCTAATCTTCATCTAATATATATATTGGTAGGAAAATTATAATAATATCAACAGAAAAACTTTGTGCGCGCGAAAAAAGCACTGATGCTGTAAAATAACTATCTGGTCCACTTTTCGTCTATTTGCTAACAATGAAACTGATATAATCCCATGTCGTCGAAATCGCCTAAATTTTGATGATACATCGCGATTTTGATAAATGCTAGCGATTAATTGCGGTTGATCGCCGCTTTTTTGAGTAACCCCGATCTATCACGATTAATCACCGATTTTTCGAGAATACATCCTATTCCGCAATGTTGAACATTCCGGAATCAGCTCCGCTCACGGAACCAATTCCATCCAATTCCCAAAATTCCGTTCATCCCTTCCGATTCAATTCCGGAATTCCGGGAATCGCTGCCGATCAATTCCATCTAATTCCCGGAATTCCGTTTATCCCATCCTATTCAATTCCCGAATTACACGGAATCCAAACGGATTCCGCCTAATTCCCAACGATTCCGGAATTCAGTGCACTTACACTAACATTCACATCCACACTTATGCCAACACTTACACTTATGGCAACACCCACACTTATGGCAACACCCACACCTATGGCAACACCCACACTTACCGCAACACCCACACCGTGCAATTCCGGTACGGAATCCCGGGAATTGGGTCGAACAGGAATTGAACGGAATTGAACGGAACTACACGGAATTCCTAGGAATTCCGTCTAATTCCTAGGAATTCCGTCTAATTCCTAGGAATTCCGTCTAATTCCTAGGAATTCCGTCTAATTCCCAGCGATTCCGGAATTGAGTGATCAATGGACACTTGATATATCTTATAGCTCGGTGACGAATGCAATTCCGGTACGGAGTTCCGGGAATTGGATCAAACAGGAATTGAACGGAATTACACGGAATTCCTAGGAATTCCATCTAATTTCCAGCGATTCCGTATTGACCTAATTCCGGAATTCCGGACCGGAATCGGATCATCACGAACTGGGTAAGACAAGCTAGAATACAGTGACACAAGTTGTAATCCCGGAATTACTAGGAATTCCGTGTAATTCCTATGAATTCCCGGTGACTCCGCTTTCATCTAATTCTGGAATTGGACTGAATTCCGTGGAATTCCGGGAATCGGACGAAGGAATTCCGGAATCGGATGAACCAATTCCGGAATCGGATGAACCAATTCCGGAATCGGACGAGCCAATTCCGGAATCGGACGAACCAATTCCGGAATCGGACAGTGTTCATATTTGACCTAATTCCGGAATCGACGGAACTGATTCCGGGGGCGGAACTGGTTCCGGGGGCGGAACTGGTTCCGGGGGCGGAACTGGTTCCGGGGGCGGAACTGGTTCCGGAATGTTCAACATTGCGGAATTGAATGACAGCTCTGAAATTCATATTTGTCGTGATTATCTTAATAAGTTTAGTTTTTCCTGATTGCGAGTGGATTCGATTCAAAAGATGTAAATCTTAGATTTATCTATCTGTGAATGTGCACCCTGGAATGAATATATGTATTATAGACGGGAAGCGCACCGAAACAAAATGAACCCACATGGGGTAGAGCAACAATTAGGACAAATCTAACCGAAATCGAGTTAGAAAAAGTCAGTTCGATGTAATCTCTGATCTACTCGTGCAGATTCATGCTAAATATCTATTTGATAGACCAATTTGAGTTGTAAATTTACTAAAATGGGGTATTGCGATCATAGCTCTCTTGAATGGGTCTTTTTCGTCACTCCGTTATCAAGCTGATCGAAAGTTTTCGGAGCATAGCTTGAGCTGTAGCATATCGGATGCACTTAACTTTACTATTGCCATATAATATTCGTGAGTACTACTTAAATGCTGTTTTCTTGGTGATACTTCCAAGCGTGTTTCTATTTATGCTCGGTTATCAATCGTGTTTTCCATGAAAATCATTTCGAAGCTATAGAATGTGAAGTCTGTTAGCTAGATAGTTTAGGATAGCTACTACGTTCTACATGACTAAATCCTTTCAGTAGAGGGTTGGTGACGCTAACGTCGCGTTACCTTGTTGATAGTACTATCTAAAATAAACTTCAAAAAACATGTAAACGAAGAAACATATTTACAATAAATATCTAAATTAAAGAAAGCTAGAAATTTGTTTTTCAATCTATAATAAATTCTAGAAACGTGTGAGCTATAATTTCATATATTAAGTAATAATTTAAACAAATTTTTTTAAATTTAAAACAAAACATTGGATAAATTTAAATAAATTTTTAAATATCATAATATGAATTTTAGAATATCAATAAGAGAATTTGTTTTACTCACATATACATAATAATATCTGCATCATAACAATATAGAAAAAGCATTTAATGTTTCTTTTGTTTTGAATATGAATAAAAAATGAACTTAATCTAAAGTGAGTCAAAATCAATATTAAAATATCAACAACATATTGTTTCATGAAATATTTTCAAATATACATTACAAATGTTAGAAAGTAGTTAAATCAAATTTTATATCATCAGTTATAAAATTTAAAATATGTCGAATGGTCTAGTAGAAAGATGAATAATATAATATTATGTTAAATCTATATAAGGATCGATACAGAATAAGAAATTCATATAAATATAATTAATTAGTATCCATTGAACACTACGTAACTACGTAACCTTTAAAGGAGTTAGAAATTCGAGTTTTCAAAATGCCAATTATAGCAACTATCGTATATGGCTCTGTTCACATTTTCTATTTTTAGTACATTCGTATTGAACGATTCATTATTTATATGATTCAATAACATAGATTAGTAGTGAACCAATGGAATATTCATTCACATATGTTGATGATGTCACTTTCATTATCTCGCCATAAATTTCGTCGTTTTCGTCATTTTGGAACGATATTTGTGAGGAAATAGAACTTCGAATTGAAGATTAGAAAACAGTTGTAAAGAGTTTGATCTTGATACTACGATCTCACGTTTTAATCACTTTTCTACGCTTTTCGGTTCTCGAGATCATTCTGTCATAAAACGAAGAGATGTGATGCGTACGGTCTTAAGTAAAAAAGAAAAAAAAACTCGCGACGGACTACATAAATGCTTTTGCTTCGCATCACATCGCATCGCATCGTATTAATGAGATTTTTCTATTTTACGCGACCGACAGTTTCTTTTATCGTTTTCATTTCAATATCTAGGGAGAACAGCAAGAATTGTTGAAACGTCTAGCCACCACTGTGGTGAAAGAAAAAAAATTCTATACAATCGTCGTCGCCGAAGAGTCCTTGAGTTCAGCTAGCAGTCACTGAATAGTTAAAAATTTGAAAACTTCCGCAAGCTGCCTCCGCCACCGATGATCAACTGACACTTCCGTTCACATCGAACAAGAGTGACGAGAGCATTTCTTTTTATTACTACGATAACACAAGCCACAGGAAAAACATGTTCTGCTTTTTCTGTTGATGAAATGAATAATATCGACTTTTTTAATTAGACGACTAGCCGTAATAATATTTTATTCTGTATTCGTAAACATTTTTTCTTTCTGTCAGTCAGTAGAATAAAAAGCATTGCTTGCTCGTATACGTATGCACCTGGTCGTCGTACATATTTTATATCTTTCCAATGGATCCTTTGCGTTCGTTCAATGTCTTGCACACAGACATTTTTTTATGAACCAAATTGGCAACGCTGTATTGCTTTTGAAGTTCAGTGTGACGTCAGTATTATCGACACTTATCAGAAGTTATTCAATAAAGCAATAGCATTATCATAATTAACTTCTGATTATAGTTATAGACATGTAACTTGCAGTCATTTCTTCACTTTTTTTTGCTTTCAGATTGCTCTTCACGAGAAAATTCTTGATCTACTGGAAAAAAGCCAAAATTGGTAGTAACAGTCGGGCTCTCTCATATTAATCTTAGTCCCATCAATTAATGTCGATAGAGCAAACCGGTAGCGTGTCGTGTTATTTGCCGTGTGACACACCATCAGTGGCTATCGGCATTGTTTGTAATCACCATTTTTGTTGGGATCATTTTCGTGAACATCGTCAAACCTACGAGAAATATTTGGATGATGCTGATAATAAACAACAGCCGCTGTCTAACTGTTTGGTTGCATATAAAAATATTGAAAGTAAACTTCGCTCAACTATCGATCATTGGGAAAGCCAGGCCATAGATGATATTCACCGATCAGCCGAGAATGCTAGAAAAACACTCGCAAATCATATAGAACATTGTCGATCTCATTTCGAAGAAGAATCATCGACAATAACAGGTAGCAAATAAATCAATCGAGATTCTCAGTTAATTCAACTGGAAAAATTACAAAATGAATATGGTCATTCATTGGAAAATATACACATCGTACAACATTGTGATCAAAGGCGTGCATTGGATATTGAAACAACAAATCCAGTAAAAGAAACGTTTCGTCGGAACCATGGCAAAACGAGGCACAGAATTACGATAGCAACACGCCTACAACAAGATTAGGCAAACGGCTTGTCGAAAAGCCGTTCACAGAAAGTTGTGTTGGTAATTATTGGGCGATGGGTGCTTCCGATGAATATTTACTTGCGCAAGAATTTGAAAATAAGCAATTGACATTGTTCGATCGGCATGGTAGACGAGGCATTTCGATGATATGGCATCATGATGTAGTCGTAAGTGCTGAATATAGGATGAGGTAGAAGAAAACTATTGTGTAGCATTTACTGCCACTGATTGTCTAAAATTGTGAGATGTAATTCAGAAAACAGAAAGGTTGATAGTCAGATGCGGAAAGACATTTCGTTCTCGTTACCATTGTTAATCATGAGATTAATGCTTTTATTCTCTAAACAGATTCGTGACATCCAATGGTATCATGATCTACGACAATTCTTCATTTTACTCGATAAAAAACTTATTCTTTTTGATCCAGTGACACGACTCTTTCAAGAAATCACTCGCATTGCACCTTATCAAACCAATAGTTTTCGTCGATGCACTTGTAGAAACGATCGGCTTTTCATTTCCTATTGGTGTCAAGAGAGTGCCGTCGAATGGATTCAGATTAGTTCATGGACTTTGCCGAAGCGACGGTTGAGTCCTGTGACATGCCGTGCAAATGAATTCATCACATGCATTCAACTGAATTCAAATGATCAACTTGCTTTCAGCATTCAAGATGAAAACAATCCACTCAATCGACAGTGTCGCTTTGAACTTCGTGATCTTGATCTCAACACTCTTCGTACTATTTCGCTCGATACGGTCTCCGGTGTTTTTTCACGGATGACTTCATTACCCGATGGCTACTGGGCTCTATTGAATGTGGATAACAATTTAGTTTTCCTTCTCGATGAGCAATGTGTAGTAATAGACAAAATCGACCCTCTTCATGGACCATTGCGCAATATAGCGTTGATTGGTAGGCATACCATCGTGATTCGTACCGTGCAGAAACTTATCTTCTACGACTTGGTATTTGACGAAGAAAGGCAACGGCAATATATATATGAAGAGTGTGGGTACTTGAACAGTTACATCCATCCATCCATCCACTACACCCTATAATTAATTAGATTTATCAATGAAATAAATTGAACGATTAAATATTGAGAAAAACATTGTTCAATTTTAAAAAACAAACAGCTGTTTATTTATCTAAATAAAGAGGTATTTTATTCAATTGTATTTATTATGAAAATCCAACTGTATAAAAAGCATTCAGCTTTACAATCTGGTTGAACTCAAAAATATTATAAAATTTCATTAAAAATAAATTTGGGCCTCTACTTAAAAATCGTTCGGTCTCGAAGACGAAGTCAGATTTCAATAACCAGAAGTTTCCTATTTGATCTGCTGTTCTCTACATCAGATAGAAATAAAAGAAAGAAAACAAAAAAAAATAATTATTTTTCTCTCCTCTGTTCATTTGCGTTCGATCTCATTTATGTGGTAGTCTGCGTAGATTAGTTATCAGGCTAACAATAAAAATACATAACTCAGATAGAGTTTTCCGTGAAGCGAGTTCGCTACGAATACATTTTTACGATGAGCTGTTTGATAGGATTAAAACATCGATTAGCTAGAAAAATGAATTTCAAGTCTCCGCTAGATGAATGAGCTACAGAAAAATCTCATCAATTACGACTTAAGCAGACAAAAACACTTCTACACAGAGACTACGCTTGCAACAATTCTCTCATTTTTCATAGAACATCCCTAGTAAAATTCATAACGTTTCGTCGATTTACTGCCGTGCGATTTACTGCCGTAAACAATCTTTAAAAGGCGCGCTTTGCTTATATGCAATTTTAATAAACAACAATCTTATTCAACTGTTTTTTCTTTATTGTTAATTGTTAATCTTTTATCCGCCTTTTCACACCCCCTGCTCTTTCTACGGGAATACACAACGAGTTATAAAGCACAATAATATCAGATACTTCTTTATTTTTAAATTGAATTTTGTAATTTGAATGTCAAACATCCTGAACATCATAATTCTTATTCAATATTAAAGTGTTATAAAGAATAGATATTGATATTCGATTTAGAAATTATTTCTAAGCATTAACTGACAAAAAACATCGACGTAAATAAATTATTATCTTTGATATAGAAGTATTTATTCTTTTTTTCTTGGACGAAAGTGTACAAATGTATAAGACAAACTGAAGACTGCACTGATTTTTTTTAATAGTTAGTATAACGATAAATGAAAAATGTTTCTGTTGGATATGAATAATATTTTTTATTTGAAAGGAAATTGATATTAATTAATAATCTCACATATAAAAGCAAAAAAGCATGACATATTGAATTGTTATGTATTGTAAAAAATTAGAAAGATATGTATAATGGTGTCATGTCCATATAATATAATCTTTTGAATGAATTTTGATTGATCGGAATACAGCAAAACATTAATGACATTTCATTTGTGCGTCACGTATTTTATCATTGATAATATAATATTTAATGATATAATAGTATTGCATAGTGGTATTATCGAGTCTGAAAAGAAATTGCAAACTAAAACAATATATATGTATTACATATATAATTTATTTAAATGGATACTGTTAATGTAAAAAGAAGTAACAGTAATCATATAATAGATTTGATTCATCTTATAAATGGTCATAGATGTAAATAATAATGAATAAATTTTATTTATTTAGTGTTCTTTGTAGAAAAATTGAGTTTCTAAATTGATCCTTTTTATATTAATCTATGAAACTTTTATAACGTTTATATATGATTTATATGCTATGAAGACATTCATTGTAAACGAATTGATTCTTAAATCCATTGATGATAAAATTATATCATTAAAATTGTGAATTCAATATTTTATAGTAGTTTGTTGTTTTTTACATAAAAGTTTTCTTGAACTCAATATTTATATTATCATTTATCGTTGGATCATTACAAACGTATAATTTTAAAAGCAAAAAATGCTTTAAAGCTATACGTATATATTTATATTTGACTGATTAATTTAAGAGAAAATACATTTTCATTTTGAAAATTTTGTTAACGATTTCTCATTAGTTATTCATGGTTATGGATTTATAGTATAATCGAATTTATTATTGTTTTTCTTGTCCGAATTCAATAAACAGAATGAATTATGTTTTTGATTATATGAGTTCAGTTGGTGGAGATTCTTTCAAATAAAACAATAATGTTTTCGTCTAAGTAGCCTATTAAATGAATATCTTGAGGGTGTGGGTGTGGCTGTCGGTATCCGCTGAGCCTGCACATACACCCACACTCACACCCTTTTCTAACTATCCTCAAAAATTAGAAATAAAAAATGTAATAAAATCATCAAAAAGAAATACCATTATTATTTATTGAACATTTCATAATTATTTAAAAAATGATAGTGCTAATAAAATCATTTTAAAACTTTCTTATAATTAAACATTAAAATAATTCTGCTTTCCTTTGAACACTGCGAGTTTCATCTTTTTTACTAAATCAGACTAAAAATTGAGAATTATACGTTCCTGTCTCGTTCAATTAATAACACATCCAGTCGCTACAATAAAAACATCAAGATAAATGCATATTAAATAACCAACTACTGCTATTTCTAAAATCTCAATCGACAAAGTTGATATAACTTCTCTCTGTCTGTAAGCTTTATTAGTGTCATGTTCATGATATTTCAATCATGTATAGATTAATATTTCTTCATTTTTTTGGTAAAATACAATAAACCTCAACTGCATAATAGCATATTTTTCTCGATAATTACCAATAATGAAGCAATTTGATGAAGCGCGCCTTTCTGCTTTCTTTCATTAACATAACTACTCAAATCAATATTAACATGTCTCTTGCTCGAATAATTTTACATGATATATATATATATATATATAATAAAATTATTATTTACGCTCACCTAACCATCCATGTAAAACTGAAACGCACGTAAAATGCGTTCTGATTCGTTTAAAACGCGCCTACACGCGATTGTGATACAAAATTGGAGAAAATACCGTTCAGACGCGTTTTTAAAGACGCATTTAGATGCGTTTGATCGTGCCCCAAAGACACATCTAGACGCGTTTGAGTTCGCAATCGCGTTCAATCACGTCCCAAACACGCGTCTCGAGCTACGATTGCGTTCACTCGCGTTTTTAAGATGCATTCGAACGCGTTCTGATTAAGAGTCACACCCCAACGCATCTAAAACTGAAACATGTGTTACAACTGTAAGAATAAAAATAAGATAGAACACTTCTGTAGTTATGATCACGTGTAGACATCCATACAAGGTCAGGGTCGTTTCTTGTGTAATGCCTTTCAAATGTTATAATCGTTTCTATTAAAGATATATCCTCTAAACCAGTTACTGCTTATTTGTCAATGTAGAAGCAAATAATTTTGATGAGTGTAGCAATAAATTTTGACGATATCGTTTAGCTTATTATTCTAGAAAACTGAAAATGGTAAAATTTTAATTAAGCTTATGAGAATAAGAGTATGCAGAGCTATATTGTGTATTTTATCGATTTCACGATTGTCACACCAACGTATTTTCAGTCTGAAACATGTACGAAAAATACATACGTATGTCTATAACTATATTCTGCTTTGGATAACTTTGCTACTTTTCCCTTTTACTGTTTAAATTTACACTTATATTCCTTATTATTGAGATTCAAAATATTCTCTATTTTTCTATTGTATATTAAAATGCTGGAAGAATAGAAAATACTTCTTTTCATTACCTCGATATGCCGATATTGTTTATGCAATATTTTTGACAGAATGAGATCGTT